TGGGAGTATTCAGGTCAAAGTGATGGCTCAGCCCAATGTATTGGTTCTGTCACACTGAACCACAAACAGAAGGCCACAGTGCCACATTTTGGGAGGGTAGTAGTAGTCTGTGGTTGAACTTGGATCTGTGTACTGCTGTGGGGATGTGGAAGTATTCTAGAGTCACAAAAGAATGTCGATGCTCAAACTTTGGTCTTTCAAACCCAGGTCTGCAGATTTAAATCCCATTAACCCGGAGTCTTCTCTACACTGTAGATGTGCATTCAGTTTCCCAAAGTATGTGATAATAGCTCTTATTTGCCTTTCTAATGTGTTTGAGAACTAAGAGTGAAGGAACCAAATAACCTAAATCTCTTTGAGGACCTGTGCCTGTGAGTGCAGACAGTGAAATGCTGGCCCTATGGAAGTCAATGGGAATTTAGCCATTGACTTCAATGGGACTAAGGTGTCATCCCAAGTATCACTAAAGAGACACTCACTTCACTTCATTGCTTGATTCCATTCCCCATTTACAAGGGGGCAGAGGTGCCCACATTCTTCTTCGCTGCTTCCGGTCCATAGCACAAGTTCATAAGAACATAAGAACAGCCATACTGGGTCAGACCAACAGTCCATCTAACCCAGTAACCTGTTTGCCGACTGTGACCAATACCGGATGCCCCAGAGGGAGGGAACACAACAGGTAATCCTCATGTGATCCCTCCCCTGTCGCCCACCTCCAGAGAAACAGAGGCTAGGGACACCATTCCTACCTATCCTGGCTAATAGCCATTGATGGACCTAACCTCCATGAACCTATATAGCTCTTTTTTGAACCCTGTTAAAGTTCTAGCCTTCACCACATCCTCTGGCAAGGAGTTCCAGAGGTTGACTGTGCCGAGTGAAGAAAAACTTCCTTTTGTTTTTTTAAACCTGCTGCCTATTAATTTCATTTTGTGACCCCAGTCTTATATTGTGAGAATAAGTAAATAACTTTTCCTTATTCACTCTTTCTACACCAGTCATGATTTCATAGACCTCTATCATATCACCCCTTAGTTTCCTCTTTTCTAAGCTGAAAAGTCCCAGTCTTTTTAATCTCTCTTCATATGGAACTTGTTCCAAACCCCCAGTCATTTGTGTTGCCCTTTTTTTGAACCTTTTCCATTGCCAATATATCTTTTTTTCAGATGAGGCAACCACATCTGTATACAACAGATCTTGGATTTCCAGTCCTTTGCTCTTCAAACTTCTCTTGATAGAGTGTTTCCATTGTACCCTCAGTCATCTACATCCTTTTTGGGTGTCCTCTTCCTCCTATGCTTTTCTTTGCTGGCCATTCTTTACCCATTCTTGTCATATGTTCAGCCTTCTTAAAACATGCTCTCTCCAGCCTTTCTATCAGGCAACGTATAGACTATGGGTTTTTTGTGGGATATATACCGCAAAAACCCCGCCACGTCCAAGGAACACATTTACTCTTCTGCTTTTTTTCGTGGAAGAACAAATGCGCTTTTTCCGGGAGCCCTGTTTACCTCGTTTCACAAGGCATAAGGGCTCCCTCAAAAGAGGAGACTTTTCCTCCATTTGGTCCCGTATAGATGGGGCCAAATGGCGGAAAAGCCTCTTCCAAAAAAAAAAAAAAAGCAGAAAAAGCTGCGCAAAATGCACAGTGCATTTTGCGTAGCTTTTTCCGCAAAAAACACTGCAGTTTAGACCTAGCATCAGAGTTCCAAGTTCCTCTTCCCTCCCCCGCCCCCAATTTCTTCCATGCACACTGTTGCCATCAATTCTCCATTGTCTATTACTGAAGACAATGTCAAATTAAAAACTATATGCTGAAAACTTTACGGATATTGCTAACGTCTTATATTATTAAAAGAGGAAAGACATTAAAGTCAAGTTGTTGTTTATGCTTTCTTTTATTTCTTTCAGCACGGACAATGAAAATCAATCAAGTCCTTTTTAAATTTTTCTTTTAACTTTTTGATGCTGCACTGTTTGGGTTTCAAACACTGCATGGGAAATGTTTATTTGTTTTGGAACAATTGTTTTTTCTTGAGTTTTAAAAACAATTCTGGAACTACTTTTGTTTGTTCTTAGATCTGATAAAAGCTTGCTTTCAGAATAATTAAATTCTGGTCTCTGGTCCAAGTTTAAGTTGAAAGAATCCTCAACTTATTGACACTTCTTCCTCAGTGACATACTAAGTACATGATGCAGCACCAGAAGTATTTTTGACCCATGTACTCTGCCTAAATTGCACCTCAATAAAGAATTTAGATCTTTTGGTACTTTATTGACATGCAGTGTAAGATAATGGCATTACTGGATGCTCATACAGACACACATATGACAACGTTCCTCTGATATTTGCTATTATATATTAACAAAGAACTAGTTTTAAATACCCTTACTCAAATTTAATAGTACCTCACTCCTTGATTTCAATGCTAGTAGTTAAGGAGTAAGAAATTTACTGTAAATAAGGGGATTAGAAACTGTCCTGCAGATAGATATTCACATGCACAAGCCATGTGTAATCCATAGCTACAGAATCCATTCTTGGTTACTCCTTGTCACAGAATTGTGCTCCAGAAGTGAAATTTTAATTTGAAAAATGTTATCAACCAGATTCTAATACCATTTATGTCAGTGTAAATCTGAAGAAATTCTATATGACATGTATTTAGACCAGGCTAAAAATTAAAGGAAAAATCAGGCCGTAGGTTTCTAACCCTTTTGGTTATGAAGAACACCTTGAACATACAAATAGTGTAAAACGATACACTGCTTATTTTCTTAGTTTGCAAATAGCTTTGAAAAATATACCTGAGAGGTATGAAATGACCTATTCATTTCCATGGTTTGTTTACTCTGTAATACCAAGATAACATGATTATTTTAATGGAAATATCTAGTTAGTGGTTTTACCCCACAATTCTGCACAGCATGCCCAGGTGGCAAAAGCCACAACTATCCCTAGGCAGCCACCAAAATTTCCAGCTCTCCTATACCCGCAGCCTAATAACCTTAATGGAGCAATCTTTTATTGTCAATACAAAAGACAATAGTGTGCTGAAAACATGGAGCTATTAGAAAACCAATTGAATTTAATATTAAAGTAAATAGCAGGGGGCTGTTCTGCTGACTGCATTATTAATGTTCATATTACATTAATTTAAAGTATCTATGTAAGCATTTAAATTAAGATGCTGTAAGACCTCTAGTTTGATACACCAGAATATCATAGAATTCAAGGTCCTTGAATTTATGTTTCATTAGTCAGAGAGTAATTTGTATGAATGTATGCATAAGTTTCATGATTTAGGAAAGCCCTTACATGTTGGACACCATGTAAGAAACAAAAGAGACCTTAAATGGCTTATTAGACATTTCTGTATTTAATTTACAATACATTTTATACTAGTATTAAAGAAAAAGAATCTTTCACTGAAGCCCAGAAAAGTTGACAGAACAAACTCATCTGACATAAACATCTCATATCTGAAATTTTAAAATATGGATGACCAAATTCTACACTCAGTCACAGAGTGACCTTGCTGAAGTCAAGGGAGTTCCACTGGGATAAGTGTGAGGAGCATTTAGGCAGTGTTATATAGGTAGACAAAGCCATTCAAGTTTACTTTCTGGGTCAATCCATGTTGTGGCACTTACACATTGTTAATGTAGATATAGGAGTACATTATTAATGTAGATATCTGGGCATATTCACACAATAAAGCTAAGGATGACCAAATATTTGAAGAAATAAAAAAACGTGTGTTTTAATGCTGGTGCTGAACTCAAGACTAAGGGTGTGTCTAGACTACATGCCTCCTTCGACGGAGGCATGTAGATTAGCCAGATCGGAAG